CCCCCCCCCCCCCCCTTAGCCCGGTTTTCCCCACCTTAAGCGACTTAAAGCCTTATGGATTTCACCCCCCAGACCCCCCCAGCCAGCTCCGCTGGCTGGGGGGTTCTGGGAGTTGAAATCCATAGGACTTAAAGTCGCTAAGGTCGAGAAACACTGGGCTAAGGGGTGGGGATGGGGCTGTTTTAGGAATGCTTTAATTCCTGCATTGAGCAGGGGGGCTGAACTCCATGATCTTTTTTTCATTATTATTAAAAGTTTTAATAAGTTTTACAATTCTATAGGGACGATGCTAAAGTTAGTTAGTTTGTTTTAGTGTACGATTGCTAAATGTTTATACCCTGTATTTGCTCTGGAAGGTTGTGGGGGGGAGGGGATGTGGGATTGAGGGGGAGGGAAGGAAGGGGAAAGGTATATAATTGGGCTCCGTGATCTTAAGGGTCCCTTCCAGCTCTCAGAATCTTTGATTCAGAGGACATATCAAGGAATGAGTCTCTTTACCCGCCCTCCTCCTCCTCCTGGCACCATTTTTATACAAAACTTTAATGCCCCACTCAAATGAGGAAGATTCAAATTTCATGCTGTTTATATAGTAAAAGAACAGAAGAAGCAAAAAATGATTTGTTAGATTAAGTAAAAAAAATCCGTTTTATTCAGGTCAAGTTCTGCCAGGGAAAAATCTACAGGGTAATGCAAAAACATTCGGCTTTCTCCTTAGAGGTATTTACTTAATATTGCACGCTATAGATAAGCAACGTGTGTTTGTTATCCAGTTCAAATGTCAGAAGGCAAATCAAGACTTCTAACTCTCCTCAAAAAGAGGAACTATCTCAGGGTTCCCCAAACTTGGCAACTTAAGACTTGTGGACTTCAACTCGCAGATTTCTCCAGTCTTAAAGTTGCCAAGTTTGAAGTCCTCTGGACTATCTCTTCTTCAAAAACTATTGAAAATTATAAATCAGCGCCTTATCCACTCCCTAAACCCTCAGTCCAACTCCATCATTGCCAGAATTCTGGAAGGGAAAGCCACAAGGTAAAGGAACACTCTTTTAAGATTTTGCCACATATGTAGGATTTCATATTTTGGGAGTTAATTCAATTTTTTTTTAAAAAAAAGGACTCCCGACCAATTTCTGTTTAGGCCAGGAGAACTTTCGTCGGTTGCTCCACCTATTTTGTAGAAAGCTTGGACATTTGGCTGCCACAGATCTTCTGGAAATGCAATGCTTGCAGTGTGGCCAACAAACGAGGGAGGGAACAAGCAGCTGTGCAATGGGGCTTGGCCTCTCCAGATTCTGCCCCGTTCAATTCACCTCCAACGGATGATCTCCTCTGTAGCCAAGCGCATAATCTTATGGAAGTCAAAGTGAAGGTGCTTTCTCCAGAAACGACGA